AAAATTTGAATTTAGTTTTTCAGCCATTTTGACAGCCCTAGTCTGCAAAAGCAAAGATCTTCATGGATACACATTTTGTCAAATGCAGTGATAGGACAGGGAGGAAATGTACTGTTACTCACTGCTTTTGCTGGCTTTGACCTTGGCCAGCAGTTTCTGTGTAGTAGCTAGATCTCCATTCTTGACCGCTTGCAGAAGATCCTGCTCTTTTCCCATGATCTCCACAAGTGTCCCACAAGAGTCCTGCTCCTCCCTTACACCGCCATACAGCGGCGCAACCACGGCATGAACCTATCCCAGAATCCTCTCTTTCGATAGTGCTACAGTCGGGGTAGGTGACAGCCAGACGTCTGAGGGAACCACAAGTAACCAGATATCAGAACAATCACGTCATCAGAATCAGCAGACTTCAGCTCTCCATCTGGTTACGGACACGGAAGGTCGGAGAAATGGAAAATCTATTTTGCCTTATGAATTGCCTTCCGGTTTTTCGTTCTCAGTTTCCAGAGCCTTTTCAGGGTAACAAAGTCGGGTTTGGTCACGTGGAGCTCAGTTTCTGGGAACGCAGAGGCCCTGCTGATGTGGTTTAGAAAGCTGAGAAGACTGGAGTGGCACAAGCAGACCAAACCCTGAAAAAGGAGTGGGCAAGAAAAATAGTACTGTTAATCCATCAGCCAAGTACAGTGCATGAGCAAATCAGCAAGAGGGAGAAAGTCATGCTTAGAACAGAAGCCTACTATGACGCTCTGACAGCAAGACTTTGAGATCAAATAAAGACTCTTTTCACCTTTCAAACTTGAACAATTCCCTCTCAAGGAAAGGTTACAGATGCTTCATGCTTAAAGGGATAGTTCACACAAAACTGTACATTCTGTTATCATTTAGTCACCCTGAATGACTCAAACCTGTATGACTTTCTTCAGTGGAACACAAAAAAAGATATGCTACTGTTCAAAAGTTTGTTTGTTTGTTTTTTTTAAGAAATTAATTATTTTTATTCAGCAAGGACACATTAAAATATATCAAACATGGCACATAATGTCTTAAAATGTCTTATAAAAGACAAGTCTTGTAAAAAAGACATTTAGATTATTATAAGAAAATCTATTTCAAATAAATGTTATATTCATCTTTATATTCATCAAAGAATCCTAAAATGTATCACAGTTTTCAAAATAAAAATAGCAGCACAACCATTTTAATATTAATTGAAAAAAAGTTTATCGAGCAGCAAATCAGCATATTAGAATGTTTTCTGAAGGATCATGTCTGAAGACTGGAGCAATGATGCTTAAAATTCAGCTTTGCATCACAGGAATAAATTACAACTTCAGGAATGCTAAAGTAGGAAACTGTTATTTTAAGTTGTAATAATATTTCACAATATTACTGTTTTTACTGTAAATAAATGCAGCCTTGGTGAGCAGAAGAGATTTCTTTCAAAAACAATAAAAAATATTACCGAACCCATTATTTTGTATTCTGTATTTTGATCTGTGTTTTGTCTAAGTCAGTGGGGTTCAAAATAACACTGGACCCCCATTGACATTTATTGCATGGACAAAAACATTTATTTTTATTATTACTTATTACATGATGTGATGTATTGGGGGGGGGGCAAAGAATGTAAAGAAATGGA